TGCTTTGATTAGAGGAAGCTTTCTGGTAGGTAGAAGTGGATGTATCCCTTTCTTTGTTGCCTGGGGGTCTCTACAGCTGAAGACAATACTACATGTTAAGGCTGGGTTGGGAGAGAGGATGCTTTCTTTGGTGAAGGGGGAGAAGGGCCATTGGGAAAGGTGAAGCAGCAGGTATTCTCAAGAAGACGAATTATAGCACAGAATAGGAAATTAGGAAAGAGTCTGGGTGTAGAGGGGCAGATTCATCCTAGTTTGAAAACTACAGATAAGATGTGATCCATGATTTACAGGAATTCATAATTTGATGAGGGAGACATATAAATGAACCAAAATAAAATTGTAATGTGAGTGCAGTAGTAAAGTACAAGGTAAAAGAGCTAGAACAATGACCTCTTCTTGGAGAAGTAAAAAAAGAAAAAAGAAAAAAATAAGTCTGAAAGCTTAAGGAAGGAGGCATTTCCACCGGGAGGGAAACAGGTCTAGGGAGTGGGAGAGGGGGGCATGTTTAGCACCCTGAGTGTCTCCATGGCTGTAGTCCTGAAAGGGTTTGGGGGGACAGGGGGAGGATTAGGTGGAAAGATCGATCAGGGCCAGATGATGTAGGGCTCCTTATTCTCCAGCCAATGGGACCGACTGGAACATTTCTAAGTAGGGAGTGACTGATCAGATTGATGTTTTGGAAAGAAAACTCTCTTAGCAGTGAGGAAGACGGATGGTGGTGAGAAACGGGAGTCGGGGTAACTAGAGGCACAGAAACAATTAAGGAAGCAGATGAGGAAGAAAGAGGCCCTCAACCAAGGCTAGAAGACAATGGGGAGTGTAGAAAAGCAAATGGACTTTAAGACAGTATTCAGAAAGGACTGACAGGCCGTGGGGGCTCACTCAATGTCTGGTTAAGAGATAGGGCCTGTTATGGAAGGTACTGAGCTTTCTAGTTCGGGCCACTGCATTGATGGTGATACAGTTACTGGACAGGAAAGGGAATACAGAATCTTCCACTGAAGGTGGTTCTCACCGTCTCACTCATAGGTTTATTTCTACACCACCTAATAGCAGGTAAGTGAAAAAGTTTACCAGTGCATTTGACCTCAACTCTAAGTTCAATAACAAGATGGTGCCTCTAAGCAGGATTTAAAGTGTGTTTTATGATACATTTGTGGGTTGTACATAGGTGACTCTTAATGATAAAGCAATAATCTAAAATCTAGGCCAATTGTTGAAAGTAACAGTATGCATTAAGAAAAAAAGCTAAATATATTTTTAAAAGACTAGACATAAAATGAAGTTAGTCAAAGATTAAAATGAGGCAGTTTGGCTAAAATTATATAGTGTCATGTGTTTACATTTCAAAGGAGGCTATAGTTTAAAGTGGAATTTAAAAAAAAGATTTAAAAAAAATTTATTTACTCAAAAAAGCATCTTTTTTTTTTTTTATTTATTTTTTTTTTACTCAAAAAAGCATCTTGTAGCTCATATAACAACACTAGTCGTGGAAGCTACGGAGATAAAGCCTGCTTCAGTTGGGAAACCACTTAAAGAGAAGAGGTCTGGAGATGGATGGTGGTGATGGGTACAAACACTGTGAATATATTTCATACCACGCTGAACTGTACACCGAGAGATGGTTAAGTAGGTAAATTTTACATTATTATGTATTTACCACAGTAAAAAAAGATGGGGAAAAAACTGAATTGAAAACCTGGGAATTCAGAAACAAGTTTTAAAAAAAGTTATTTGGTTATAATATCACTTAAAATCATTTTTCCTTTTTATTTGGTATATTCTTCATTATAAAAAATTAAATACACCCTCTCCCCAACTGTCCCTTAAAATAAACATCTGTATCTCTCTCTCTCAAAAAAAAAATCAAATACAAGCAACCAAAATTATTTTTGATTAGCAAGTCAGTTTTCACTAAAGTGAAATGATCTAATTGTATCTTTCCCCTTGTCTTCCTATGTGAACAGTATCAAGGTGTTAATACTGTGGTCTTTAAACTACTCTAAATGTTATTTTATATTAGAAAACCTGCAAATTTATAATGCATACTATCTTTTACACACACACAGTCATTTATTTCTGCCATCATCAGAACTAAAGGGGAAATTCCAGCACACTTTGTGGAGTCATTTATAATATGGAAACAATAAAACACTTAAGAGCAAACATTTTCTCTGTATATAAAATTAAAACATAAGTCCATAGTTCTAAAGAGCCACAAATTCTGGGGGAGACGTGTACTGAGATGAGCATTTATCATTATTTTTAGGCCTGTGATGAAGTTTGACTCCAGTCTTTTCTGTATCTGTGAACACACAGGGAACAGCTTATCATAACATCACTATTTGACCTCTAAGGAACAGCTCATGTCATCACAGAGCAAAAGTGCTGGCGAAACATTTATCTAGATGAAAGACCTCAAGCAGTTAACCTGCTCAGCAGAGGCAATGCAACCAGGCAACAGGATAATGACCTCTATCCAAATGTGGAAGGTACATCAATTTAATACCCTGACAGCTTGACAAAAGACGATGGCAGCTCAGCAGGAAAACATTAGCCATGATAATGCAGGGTACTGTATGTGAAAAGAATGTATTATAAAGCACAATGCTATTTGGGCTGAGGAGGGATTTTTTTTTTTTTTTTTAACCAACTTTATATTTAGGATGGTAGTCCTGCCTAAAGCCTCCTTCCATTCTTTACCTGAAGAACATCCTGATAAAAGTAAAAAGGCAGGGCGGATTAAATTGATAGCTTAAAAACAAATCGAGTTTCCTCACTAACCCAGGAGATGCTGCACATCATTTCTGGCAGGGCTGTTACTTTTCCCAGTGCAAAAATCTGGGTAATGGCAAGGCGGTTTAATCCATTTGAAAAAGACGTGTCACTCAAATACGTGTGGACAAGACCAAGGTTTCCTGTGTATGTTATTTTGTTTTACTTTTAAAGGGAGAAGGTACTCGGCACGCTTTGGGGTGCTACTGATCTTCAGCTCTAAAATTTCCCCACTGCAAATTTATTATAAAAAAAAAAAAAAAACAGTTTCATTCTAGAGTGGTAGCATGATCATGCTTGTATGTTTATTCAAGGACCTTTACTCTGTGATAGGGGTTCAGCCTGTGAGGTTTTCCCTACACATGGCAGGCAGCTGTCAGAACCAGTATGAGGGGTGAAAGGGCAGCCCGGCTGCTCTGTTAAATCACGGGGTTCCATCAACATCTCAGAATTCCTGCCGAGTGGGAGCTGGGAGACCACAGATTAGAGTACACTGGAGTGTGTATATTAGGTCACTCAGTGTCTATCAAAGCGATATCACGCCGGTGAGCTGTACAATAGATTTTACTGTGTTCTGTTCAAAGAAAATGCAAGGAAAGTGGACATGTGTGTAGCAGACCACAGCTGAACACTGAATTCTTCTTGTCTTTAAATGGATGGATTTATTATCCACAAGATGAACGAAGAATAGGGGCACAATCAATAGCTTTGGAAATCATGCAAAGTTGGTGGTTTTATTCAGCTCTTGGAAATGACTGCTCAGCAGATGCGTGAGGAAGCAGTCAAGGGGCTGGGGTGGAAGCCCAGCCCAGTCGAGGTCTGGGTTATGACTGTGGCCTTGGACTATGAACCTGGTTTACGATCTTGGATGGTCACTTCACCTTGGTTTCACAAAACTTCAGGATCCACATTTGTAAACTGGAAATAATAATACCTACGCTATCTACCTCTCCAAGTGGGTAAACGAAAAATACATTTCTAAATGAAGAAAGGACTTTTAAAAAATTGAAAGGAATGCAGCACAATGGTGTAATGTGTGGTATTCCAGAAAGGAAACATAGCCTGTATTAATGGATATTTGGTCTACATATAAAAATGGGTAAAAATGGAAAATGCCTACTCCTTCAACACTTACTGTTTAATTCCTTTTTAACAGAGAAAAATATATGTTCTCCAAGGAATCATGTAGTCTTTAACAAGATGATGGATATAAGGTGAATACTACCATGCCTGAAAAGTAAAGTGAAACTTTAAAGAGTGTAAACATTTTGTTTAATATTTTATTTCTCAATTATGACTTCTGCAAGGGTCTCCCTGACTGTAATAAGCATACACCTGAGTTTATATTAATAACAACAGCCAACACAAAATGCTTACTATGTGCCAGGCACTGTTCTAACCACTTTACAAAAGTTAATTTATCGAATTCACATAACCATATATAAAGTGGCCCCAATTATCAGCTTTGAGGCTCAAACACCATCTTACAAAAAACATCAGGTTCTGCATGATGATCTCCTTTTAGTCTAAATACATTTTCTGATCTTGTAAAGTGTGAACTAGCCAACTACCTTCTACAAAATGGCTTTCTTTCTTACCTATGAGATAGATACTATTCTTTCCACATTTTTTTTCTAGATGAGAATATTATGCCTCAAGAAGTTAGTGCTTTGCAAAACAACCAAGTGGCTGGCCCAGGATTCACACACTGTACTGCTTCTCTTTCCATTGGAGGAGCCCAGACCCCCTGTTATGCGGGGGCAATGTCGTCATGTCCCCTTGGTCAATTTGGAACCCAAAACTGAGACATCAGGTTGAGACCTAATTAGTTACCCAGCAAATAGCCCCAAATGCAACATGGCATTGAGACTAGGTTCACAGGGCAGCCATGACCCTGTCTACACGATAGCACTCAGCTGGGCAGTGAGTTGCTTTAGTGTGAATGCAGAAATGGCCACCATGTCAAAAATGCACAGCCCAGGCAGGGGAGCTGAAAAGATACCTGGGTGAATGGCAACTCGAAATGTATTTCTAACATTCGCCACTCTGAATGCAGAAACAATGCCATACAAGGCAAATGTGGGGGCCTTTGTCTTTTCTCTTTTAAACTAGAAATTTTCATTATTGTTCGGACATAAGTCCTTGAAAATCTTTAAAAGACGGTAAAGAAATTCTTAGATTGAATTCCATTTTGTCTGTTTGTTACTGGATGACAAAAGAGTATGGAATACAAACAGGCATATATAGAGCTGCATAGAACAGCTTTGTAGCTTTCCCTTCAATAAATTCAGAGATTGTCTTTGTATCCAGTGACCTTTTACGGGGAATTTAAAATAAAAAAAAAAAATCAAAAGACAGTACAATTTGTCTATACCAAAGACCCAATTATAATTCTCAGCCTCATCTTTTATGGTGACTTCTCAAAATTGAGCTTCAGTGAGCAACAACTGAAAACTATTCCGCTTTTCTGAATTATATTCTCAAGTGAAGGAAGGATCTGGATGCTTCCTTTTCAGCCCTTGTGGATGAATGCCCTCACTGGTGATTGATTCTTTAATGAGCTTCACCAGTGGGTCCAGGAGCACACAGGCTGCCCAGCTCTCTCAATTTTCACAAGTAATCACTTCAGATGCAGATTGAGCTGTGTTGTTGGGACAGGTCAGAGAAACCAGGGAGTATGGAAAACAAAACCTGAAATTGAGATGTACTGACAAACACATTCCCACATACTCAGAGACCTTACAAATAAAAAGGGAAAATGCCCAGTTACTTGGATGGTAAAACCAGCCCCAACAACCATCTAGGCTGGATCAGCATCTTATTCAAAAATATAAGGCTCTATATTATGATCCTCTTATGGGTTAAATTCATTTTCTAATCTTGCAAAATGCAAATGGAAAGGCATCCAACCGCCTTCTACAAAATAATTTCATTTCATAAATTTTGTCATCAGGAGGGCAGCTAAAGCCTGCTACATTGCTTTAAAAAATTAATTAAGAGGCACTTCTAGTTCAGCCACTTTGCAAGGCCATCCTATTTATTCATAAATTTTATTAATTCTGAAGCCAGTTGCTCCTCAATGGTGAATTTACGTTCAACTCGGTCAGGTCCACTGGGATGATATTTGGTCTTTCACAGCAGACACACAGAGCCTGGACGGGTAGCAGGCTCAAGCTACCCAACACACTTCCTTTCCTAAGATATGACTACATGAAGTTGTTAGACTTCTGTGAAAAAAAAATCTGTATAGAAATCCAGATATGCATTTCTCCAGTGTCTCTACATCTAGACCTTCTACACATAAGGCTGTCAGTAACACGCCGCCTCCTGATTAGGGAAACCGGCATTTGGCAAACAGCTCACTTGAGATGGTTTGTGGGGTTTGGGAGAGTTAACAGTGAAGGGCACTGACAAAAGTAGAAGGAAAACAGTGAAAACTGCTCTTTTGCGTTTTGCTCAAGAAGTATGCACTTGTTGACCAAACCCACACATTTTCAAGCATGCTGCAACAGAATAACACTTAGTAAAGACTTGGGTGAGATTAAAAAAAAAACATTCATGCTTCTATTCCTCAATAATGCCATGACTGACTAACTTTGAGAATGATGATGCTATAGAGAGAACTTTAAAAATAAAAACAATGCAGAGGCAACTGACATTTAAAATGTTCAAACGCACGCTGAGTCTCGCTTCTCCTTTCAGAAAAGGGGGTGCAAGTCCTACTTTGATAACTATTTGAGCCATCCCCAGTTGATGGGTAAACATTTACAAGCATTTGGGATGTCCGCTTTCTTGGTCTTCCTGCTGTCTGATTTTACCGGGGGGATGGGATGAACGCTATTCCCTTTTGAAACTGTTATTAGCCAGAACTCCCTGATGACTTAGCACAGAATATGAGAGTTGAAAGGGCTTCTGGAGACCCAAAACTCTATCCTTATTTTAGAGAAAGGGAGCCAGAGGCCTCATAGAGATTAGACGACATGCTCAAGGTCACAGCTAGTTGGTGATGAGGTTAGATTTAGTCCAAAACCCGTATCTTTGGACTCCTAATATGGCACTCATTCACCCCTTCACTCTAAATGTGATGAAAGACAGATAAAGGACACCAATTCCTTACAGTTTCTATGTCAGCACATGATTATTAGATGCTGTTAACTCTGTGAGTTCTCTGAGGTTAGAAGAAATGTGCTGCATCCTAAATGTCACAGGCCTGGAAGTAATCAAAAAGAAGCTGGATGTTAGTTGCTACTCGGCATAATGCTTGCACCATATCTGTGGTTGCTTGCAATGTATTATTAGAGCTTGGGTTTTGTTGTGACTGTATGAACCAAGCCGCACGGGGAACACTGAGGAGTGATCACAAAAATACCTTTCTTTCCCTACTGTCCCTCAAGCAGCAGGGATCAAATAACTGTTTCTCGGCTGTCTGTCGTTTAAACAAAAATAGCGCCTTCACTCTATGTGTATCTGTGGCAAGTTGGTGTTCCTTCCTCTTCTCTGTTCTGTTCTATTTTTTTAGACCCCAACCTTGGATCACCAGGGGATACTGGGACTAGAAAGGACCTGACATGATGTTTTACAAATTCATCTTGGATCCCCCTTCGGTACGTCACAGTTTGTGTTCGGTAACGGCAGGCAGAAAAGTGGTCTGCAATTGGATGTGGGGCTTGCAGAATCACCGGCCGCCGATCGAGACGGGAAGGGCTTTCTGTTCCAAGGATGGCAGTCTCCATCCATATTTCGGGCCACCTATTAACGCCGACGTTGCAATAATGGTGCATTTTATTCATCTGTGACATAGCCCGGCCTTTCTACATTTGTCTAGGAAATCAAAGGTGGGACTTGGAGGGGCCATGTGGAGTCCACCCGACTTCCTAACTGCACACACATCTCCCAATTCCTTTGCCCTGACTCTGGCCTGGCCACTTACCAGCCCGGCATATTTCTTAACCATACCCTGCCCTAGCAGCCGCATGTGTAGCTCTCCTTGAGGATTGTTCTGGGGACTTAATAAGTAGTTATAAGTGCAAGACTTACATAGGATCTGGCATCTAAGCATTGTGGAAATATTAGTTATTATAATTGTTATTTCTACTCCACAAAGTTAAGACTTCCTCATAGTTTTGGATCTCAGTTGGCTGTAATTTTACATCAGTGAAGGAATGGCTTGTTAAGCTAATGAACGTCATATGGCTATACCATAATTGACTCGATCACTCACCTCTTATTGGACATTTAGTGTGTTTCCAATGTCCTGCAATGCAGATAATGTTGCCTGCTATCTGCACTTCCTGAAATCTATCCTTATAGCTTCCCTATGAGGTAGATGCTCTTAATATTGCCATTTCCCAAATGAGGAAACTAACACTTAGACAATATAAACACAATATGATCATGCAACTTGTTAAGGGTTACTTGTAAGACTCAAGCCCATGATTTGGGATCTCAAAACCTTAATGAATTCCTTATGCATGTGCTTATCCAAAATGGTTATAACAGCAATTAGTTTGTGTACCGAAAGTTGCAAACTCCATTTATGTAAAGTTTTTTCTTATATGGACCACTTCATTTCTCAGTAATTCAGAATAACCACAGTGTTATTTTCCTCTTGGGCCTAAACTCCTGAATTTTAAACCCTCGGCCTATTATTAGGAATACTTACATTGCAAAACCACCAGCAGCTTCATAAAACCTTGTGCTGGCTTCTAAAGAACCTAGACACTTCCTTGCACCAATTTATTCCAGACTGTCTGGTCCAGAAGGACATGGGTTGGACATGAGGAGCAATTTCAGGGACCCAGGGAGACAATATAATTACATTCTAGCAAGAAGATCTTCTTTGCTGCTTTCACTGGCTACGGGCTTGTACAGCACATTTAATACAACCTGACTAACTACTTTGTTGGTCAGGGGGGAAATCATCACTACTGGGAGCAGTGAACGATAGCAATGAATCCCATCGGTGCTACTTCTAGGAACATACAGATACATTGGTTTTTTTTTTGAAAACAGATGACAATTGAGGAACAATTATGTAAGTATTCTTCTTTTTAACAATTTTATTTACTTGAGAGAGAGAAATAGAGAGAGGGTGAGAGCAGGGGGAGGGGCAGAGGGAGGGGGACAAGCAGACTTCCCACTGATCAGGGAGCCCGACTTGGGGCTCAATCCCAGGACCCCAAGATCATGACCTGAGCCGAAATCAAGAGTCTGACGCTTAACCGACCAAGCCAACCAGGAGCCCCTATGTAAGTGTTCTAAACACATAATTTGTATTACTGTATGCACAACACTTCTCAGAGAAGGGAGTCTGGAGGGGCTTTGGCAGCACCACACGCCCAAACCGAGGCGGTCCTCTCAGACTGTATGTCTCTTCTCTAGAGGGTTCTAGAACCCTAATAATGGCTAAAATTTATAGATCACTTACTACGGGCCTGACACTATTCTAAGTCTTTTATGTGTATTAACTCCCTTTAATCATCATGACAACCCAGTGAGGTAGATACAGTTATTATTGTTACTACTATCTTCCCCATTTTATCCATGAGGAACCAGAGGCGTGGAGAGGGTAATCGGCTTCTCCAGGTTACAGAGTCAGCAGGTGGCCAGGCTGGGATTTGAAGCTGGGAGTCTGACCCCGGGGCTTTTGCTCTTTGTCACTACCCTAGGCCTCTGGGTGTCCCGTGTCTCTGGCTCCCTTATCTTCTGCCTCCCAGCCCAGTTCACAGTAACCTGCTCTCGTTCATCCTTCCCATTTCCTCTTCAACTGGTGCCTTCACAGAGCCCCTCTCCAAGCTTGGACTCCCCAGTCTCCTGCCTCTGACCTCTCCCTTCCTCTCCAAAAAGTCTTTCTACCTCTTCCATGAGGCCATCCCTCAGAGGGAAAGGAATGTAAAGGTATCACTGAAACGACAACAAAATCACTTCCCTTTAACATAAAGCTCAAATGATTGCTGGGATTGCAGGGACAAGAAATATTTAATAAAGAAAAAAAATGAAAAGGTACTTATTAATGCAAATACAGATTTTTAGAGAAATAGGTGCTTGAAGAGAACACTGGACCCAGCGCAATTTCTTGTACATACATGAAACATTAAATAAATACATATGGAGTAACTGAATGAATGAAGTCAACTTGGGACTGTGGGATTTGAACAGAAGTTTTTGAAAACCTGAACTTGGATGTTTTTGTTGGATTGCTTTAAGAAGATGCTCTTCTGCAAGAAAGAGCATTTTGTCAGAATATATATAATCTAATGTTTCCATGTGTTATAAACTCCTCCATTGAGGGGTTTCCAGCAAGTCTGTCCATGCTAATGCCATTTGCCTGCCAAACAAGGCAGTGACTGTTCTCTTTTATGTGCTTCTCTTTCACGAGTTTTTAAAAAATAACAAACATTTCAGATACCAAGAGAAAAAGCTAATCTTTCTTAAGTATCAAGCTTGGAGAAGGCGGAATGGCTAATTTGCTTCTCGACTTCCGTGGAGATTTTTTACTTTAGTGCTATATAAAAAATGTAGTTACGTTTCATGTTGGTATGCCATTTTTGAACTGTTAATAGAAATTATTGATACACAAATTTAAACAACTAAGACCCATATTTTATTTCTTATGTTCTGGCTATGTGGGGAAAGCCAAGAAGACTTTAGCAGTATCTACAGCTTTGGTGTTTTAATATTCAGTTTAACTACTTATTTTCCAATCATATGTTAGATTTTATTTTTTTAAAGATTTTATTTATTTATATGACAGAGAGAGAGATAATGAGAGCAGGAGCACAAGCAGGGGGAGTGGGAGAGGGAGAAACAGGCTTCCCACTGAGCAGGGAGCCCAATGTGGGGCTCGATGCCAGGACCCTGGGACCATGACCTGAGCCGAAGGCAGATGCTTAACGACTGAGCCACCCAGGCGCTCCTCATATGTTAGATTTTAAAAGCCATCTTAGACTTATTTGTTGTTTTTTTTTTATCTGCCTCAAGCTGTTTTGAAACAGTAAAGGTAAGGATTTATTAATAAGAGAGTATAATTAAAATAATGAAGAGGCTGACTGACTTAATTGTAAAAGTTTGATTTTGGTACCTTCGCTCCAAAGCTGTTTTAGGATTAGGTCCATCATAAAAATAGCTTGAGCTGTTACCTTGAATCAAAATACAAAGTTATTTCTCACTGTGCTCTGTGTGGTCTTGTAGAAAAACGCACTGCTTTGAGCAATAAGTCTTGCATTTCAAGAACCTCACCAGTCAGGTTAGCTGTTAAATTATACGGCAAACGTCTTGATTTCTAAAGGAAGTAAATTCAGTTTTTCAGCGTTACCTTCCACTCTTTCTAAGAAACCCACCCTCCAGCCATCTGCCCGTGCTGCCCTGTGCGCACCCCAGCTGTCCCTGCATCGATTCTGTGCTGGGGTGGCTCCTGCCTGAACCCTGTCTGTCCACCTACCCTCTTCGAACCCACAATATCCATTATCCTACCTACATGTCTAGGTTCAGATCAAACCCCACCTCCACTCTGAGTATCCCAGCCAGGAGCAGTGTCTCCCCATTCAGAATATTGACACTGAATGCACTTGTCTTTCCACGGTTTCTGTGGGCCTCCATCTCCCTCTCCAACGAGACTGTGAACCCGTGGGAGTCAGGGGCTCTGCAGACAGTCAATAATTTATTTCATCTTTTGTATTATATATAAATTTGTAAACTGCCCTCAGTCACATGGCAAATGAACCATGCCATAAATACATAATGCTTATGATAGGATTATGAAGTAAAGAAGTTTGGTTTTGTTTTGGCCAATGAGAGTAACTGCATTACTGCATAGTCATACCTTGTAGTCTGAAAAACCCATTAACATCCACGTACATAAGTGGAGTTGACAAATACATTATAACAAAGAAAATGAAAAAAGGAAATAGCAAGTACAGGATTTGGTAAAAGGTTTGAAATAAACAAAGAAAATCTTTAAAAATACATACAGTATATGGTAAATATTTGATTACCATAAACCTGGACAAGTAAAATGAATGGATAACCGGAAACTAAATGTGGCTACAGGTTTCAGTCATCTATTGAACTAAACACTTCCCCACAAGCATTAACAGGCCACAGGTTGCATATGTGAATTTTTTTCCCCTCCCTGTCATAACACATCTTTATATGTGTATTAGCCGCATGGTGGCTGGAAGCTTTTCTGATCTTTGAGTCTGGGTAAAAAGGCAATCCCTGAGTCCATGAACGTCCACAATCCCCAAGATTTCTGTAAATTCCAGGGAGAGGGGTGATGCTTATGCTGCCATGGTTGTGCTCCAGCACCCTCCTGGGACCCATCCACTGAAATTCGGCTCATGGGAGATGCTCTTAGTGGAATCTGCTGAAGATCTGGGGAAGGCAAAGCCAGGAGCACATGGTCTTATTCCACCCAGATGGCTCTTTCCTCCCTATTGTCTTGTGCTTTTTCCTCCTTTTCATTTTCTCCATCCTGGATAAAGTAATGCAGATTATTTTTAGAGGAAATCTCGGTACCATCTCATTCTCCCAACCAAGGTGGATCTCATTTCTAAATGTAATCTCTAATCAATATTTCTTCAGACAAAAGTGAAACCTTCCTGACTCATTTTGATCCCAGGTATTAAATATTGCAAACACGTCTTCCTATTACACTCATGCATTAAGAAAGTAGTATATGATCCAAAAGCTTGGAACTGGAGGGGAACCAGGAGCACATCTGACCTACTGCACTGTCTCCACGGCTCCCTCACCATCTGTGACTGAAGTTGCAGGCGTCCTATAAACACCACCATAGGCATATTCCAGACTCTACTCATCAAGATGAATTGGGCACCTCCCGTCCTAGGCTAGTAACTCAAACTATGATCCCATTGCCTGTCTTCTAGATTTGTGCTTTTTTCTTCCCCACTAGATGCACAACTCAGACTTACATCCAATTTTGTTTCCTTCCCCCTCTGCTTGAGGCCATCATGCTCTGCAACCCAGGGGAAGGTTTCACATTCGTTGCTCCCGCACAGCCTCTGTTCCCATGTGTACATACAGTAAAGTTGTGACACAGCTTTAGATAATATGGGCTTTGAAAATATGGGCTTTGAATAGCTGGCCTACGGGTAATTGATAAATAGATCTGCTTTAGAGTTCAGATATTTCCAAATTTGCAAGTGTTCAGGATTCTCATGATGCTGAGTTATTTACCTCTACAGAATGCTTTTTTTTTTTTTTTTTTTTTACCACTGGGGCAATGGGCAGAAGAGGCAGAAAGGCAGTAAGTGACTATACCTAAGGAACTAGCAGCAGACAATAGCGTTACCACACGGGATGGCTCAGTCAGTAAGCCAAGCTACGGCAGTGACCCTGTTAGAGCTGAGCACCAGAAGGAGCCCAGTCCATACCTTCCAACCACCTTCATTTTTTTCTTGGCAAAACTGTCCTTACAATTTGTTTTTAGTTAGGAAACACAGTATCCTGTGGTCATGACACCAAGCCAACATTTTCTCTGTTTCCAGTTAAAGGAAATATAAAGATGCCAGAAAATATTTGCCCACACAGTGCTGTTTTTCATTAGAAGGGTACTTTAAGAGCCTAGTTACTACAATATCAACTCTGTATTGTTCTATTACCATGAAGCACACAACTGAAATAGGCATTTTTTTTTCTATTAGCAGCATATCACATTTGTTGGGTATTAAAGAAAGTGTTCACAGATATTAAAAGTTTTTCTCCTGTGGGAAAGGCACATCATTGAAAATGCAACATAATTTCCATTCTCTTTTGGAGTCTTGAAGTTTAAGAATGTAATTTTTTTGAGTTGCTTCAAGATAGCCAGCATATTAAATACCTCCCTCCCCCCATGGCTGCCTCCCACCTCAGGACGTGACTACAGCTAAGCTGGAGAAAGATGTGAACCCTTTGCCCGTCAGTTCTTTACCTCTGATAGGGCAGCAAGATCGCTCACTATATACACCTGCCCTGGAATGGACCCTCATGGTCCTCCTTTTCTTTTCTATTTTTTTAAGAATTTTTTAATTTATTCATTTGGGACAGAGAGATACAGAGAGAAAGAGAGCAGGAGCAGTGGGGAGAGGCAGAGGAAGAGGGAGAAGCAGACTCCCTGCTGAGCAGGGAGCCCGACGTGGGGCTCGATCCTAGGACCTAGAGATCATGACCTGAGCTGAAGGCAGGCGCTTAACCATCTGAGCCACCCAGGTACCCCGGTTCTCCTTTTCTTTCTTTTTTTTTTTTTTTAAAGATTTTATTTATTTATTTGACAGAGAGAGACACAGCGAGAGAGGGAATACAAGCAGGGGAAGTGTGAGAGGGAGAAGCAGGCTTCCCGTGGAGTAGGGAGCCTGATGGGGGGCTCGATCCCAGGACCCTGGGATCATGACCTGAGCTGAAGGCAGACGCTTAACAACTGAGCCACCCAGGTGCCCCTGGTCCTCCTTCTCTATAGCAATTTTCAATACAGTGTAACTTATCTTGGAAAGGACACATGACTTTGCAGAGAACACCACTCAGGAATTAGAGAATGTTCCATATTAATGGAAATTAATATGCAAGTTGTGACCAATTCCGCATCTCCAGTGTAACAAGTCTGGAAGTGCCATGCCTAACTGGGATGTCAAAAACCTCTATGTTTGGCAAATGGCTATCATGAGAGAAACAGGAAGTTTCTTGGGAGCTGTGGAACTCATCATGGCTTTGGAGAAAAATAGGAGCATCACAGATGGCAAGTGCCAGACCATATGCTGCTGTGGCCAGGATGAACTCCAGAGCGATGAGCCAGGTGGTCCACTCAAGAGTGCTCATGGTGAGGTGGGCCTCCACATGGAATTACTTTTGGATGACAAGGACGGTAGTCACCGCTCACTGTGTGTTCAGGGCATGCTAGGAATCCCAGACATGATGCCCATCTGCCCAACCATCCTGCCAGGTCAGCATGCGAGAGTGTTGAGCACTTTCCCTGAACCAGGCGAGTACTAGTCTAAGTGCCGTAGGTGGGACATCTCAGTCACTCCTCAGCACAAGTCATGAGATGTGACTGTGGTCACTGCTGCTGTCTAGATGAGGAAGGGGGGGCTCTGTTCTCAAGGCTACAGTCAGGAGGCGTCAGAACCCGGACAGTTGACTCTGAAACCAGAGCTGACGGCCATGCCATAAGGCCGTGATGCCTCCGAGGGACTAGGAGGCACTTGACATCTCTCCTCTCTCAATGAATTCTCCAACAGCTTTGTGAGATCAATCCTATACTTACTAGGAAATAAAGAAAACGAGAAATTTAGGGACTTGCCCCTGGACACACAGTGAGAAATGACGCCGCTGGGATTTGAATCCAGGTCTGTCTGAATCGGAAGTACATCTAGAAGCACAGTGTGGCTTCTGCGGAACGTGCCATCGGGAGCCTGTTGCTTGTCGTGGATAAAAGCTGACTGTACATAGAGCTTTGGTGCTCATATCCCCAAATCTCAGGCAACATGAGATCTTTTCAGCTAGAAATTGCCTTTCACACTTATACACAACTTTTCTTCTTACAGAGAAAACACGAAACGTGTGACACAGCAACTTCTCCAGGGAACATCATCCTCCATCCGATGCTGGACCCAAATTCAGAATGCTCTGTCCACATGTTCCCCTGTCTGAAACGCTTTTGAGCACTTAAGACACCTAAGTCACAAGGGTAGAAATTAATCACTGGAGACATGTAATGCACAAAATATGGAAATGATAGCTGCTTAAAATAAAATAGAGGTTGTATCATCCAAGTGCAGGCCGACCCAGAAATGGCATGTTAAACCACTAACATTTCCTTAACTGCTATTTATTTGCATGTTCTCTAGTTTTGTCTACGGCGTTTTCATGGGTCTGCTCATGCTCCAAGTGCTGGGCATGCCAAGAGCTCAGTGCTATATAAATAGTTTCAAATGCACAGAATGTGATGGAAATCTCATTCGAAACCATATGGCCTTTCACAAATGGCCACTACGCAAAGGTACAAGATTTAAAAAGTAATCCTGCCACCATTAAAAATATATGAATAAATAAACGACAGCAATGACTTCCTTTTCCCTACTGGATTCGTGGACGGGCTGGGGAGTATGAACTGCTTCTGCTCTGTGGCTGATTTTCAGTTCAGATAACTCATCTTTATTCATTTCCTTTCAGTCGTGATGAGCCATATTGAGAGCAGCTGTAGGCAAGAGAAAAAAAAAAGGATCTCCTCACTCCCTCCTTTAAATCGTTGTCAAACAGCCGTTATAAAGAATCCATCTGGGCTCAGTGCTTTGCTGCGCACCCAAGAAATAATAGAAAACAGGAGGAAAAAAAACCCCAGTTTAAGCTGAATCTAACAAAGAGATTTAAAAATTACCCCAAACACATGTTTTGGGGAAAAATCAACCTCAGGATGATTTAAAGTCGGGGAGACCAGGCCTAGAGCAAAAGTATACTTCAAATTAAATGCAAAACCAAACCAAAACAAAATGTACTTTAAGGGTTACGGGGAACACCAATACGTAGGTCACTGGTCAGGAGAGGTCTGGTGGCCAATTCTAGTAAGGAGTTACTTACAAAGTTAGAAGGTGGTAAGTTAGTGTCAGTAAGCCAAAACTCAAAATGTAATAAGAGTGAAATGATATGAGAAAACAACTTGCACGAAGTGGAATGAAATAAGAAATGATTTACATTAATGACAGTTTTTATATCTGAAAAAGTTTTTCCTGGTTTACACAGCAAATGAATCGGGGGTCAAAATGCAAGTTTTTTTTTTTTTTTTTTTCAATTTTGGATGAATGATGAATATTTTTGGATCAAGCTTGGTCTGAATTAGAAAGTAAATGGTTTTAACATTTTACTTAAAACGATTTCATCTGTTTTAATACATCAACCCAACAGAAATCTTGCTTAGGGATCATTCTACTATACTTCAATGACACAAAAATGGCTTCAGTTTCAAAGGGGAGGCTTGGCAAGTGATTACTGCATAAAATATCGCAGTCTTGTTTATTTTACAGCATTTTTGTTCATGCGTTTTTAATGGTTACATGAACCAAATGCTTAGGCAACTGTGCCGAAGATGAAATGAATGAGAAACAAAGATCTGTTAGAGGGCAAGCTGGAAGACTAACTGCTCTGCGAGTTTTCTTTCAAATGCAACTAACAGAGCAAAGGAGAATTCTAAGTAGTGTTTGAAAATGACCATGAAAGCACAGTGACTAAGATTCACAAGAAAAGTTTTAAGACGCTAGAAGGAAAAGTCAACAAAAGAACCGTCAGAATACACACAAAAAAATTCAAACTCTGTTGCTTTCGATTTATTAGCTAGAATTAGGAATGGTTTTTACTTCCCATCATCTCTGAACTCTCTGCTATTTTGGCACAGCAGAGTACCCTCTCCCTTGTGACCTTTATCCTTCCATGGCTCCCACAGTTTAATTCTTGGTCTACCTCTGCAATCTTCTCGGTCTCTGTGGC